ATGACTGGAAGATTGAAAATTTTCATGTTTCCACAATCATAGGGGATAAAATAATATGTATGTGAGAAGTTATCCGCCTTATTCTTCAATTTATATTATATTATGTATCATAGTAAATCAGAAGTTTACTAATGCAAAAGCAGTCACGGTAAACCAGAAGTTTACTAATGCAAAAGTTTATGGCATAGTAAATCAGAAGTCTACTAAGAGATAGCACATGCCATGATAAACTTGAAGTTTTCATTTGCCATTTTTGAATGAGCTATTTAAGAATTCAGATAAGCATATATTGAAGAACTAGAAGATTCTTCAAGAATTCTCCTGTGTTGCTTGTTCTCATAATAAATTGATTATACCAACTAAAGTTGGGATTAAGACTTCTGATTCTGAAATATATAAAAGGTGAATATGGGCCCATTCACCTGTCATGTGAACCACTTATAGATGCATATATAAGATGTTTACATGTATGTTTATTGTCAACCTGCAGTTTAGCATTTGAGATTGCTTTTCTCAATTAAAAGCATAACTTTTAGATTATGAAATCAAGACAGTTCATCTTGATAACGTTGGTTTATATCCAAGCTGCTTTAGCATTGAATACCTCCTACTAATGGCTAAACTATTGCTTATGAGAACAAAGCTTCATGTGTTGGTCTAAGATATTCTAAATTGCATACAACAACACTTGTATGCATCAGACCAACAATATATGATAAAGTCCTCCCCTCACAATTGGTTTAGGATCAGAAATCAAATATTTTTACTATCTTTTGATGTGTGGTATATGATTAATCTCTCTACCACAATACACAAAGATATGTTTCCCAAAAAACATTGGGGATATATATTAATTTTTCTAACATTTGAGGGATGGAAAAATATGCTATATGAATCGAATTATCATTAATATGATCCTCACTTAGAATATAATTCAAGTCAAATGCCAAAAGCATTTGCTGATCCAAACTTTAATATCATATTTCAGCTACAAATGCTCCTATTAAAATTAAAGTTCCTGAAGGATAAATTTTATTGTATGCATGAAGCGTGGTAGACCAATCGGTTCCAAAGGTAACAATTCTTGAAAAATCGTAGGAGCTAATGATCATAATAAGGAGGAAATAAGCTTTAGAAGAGCCCACGAAGAAGTTCAGGTACCTAAAAATAAAGAAAGTGATGAGATCTCAACAAGTTATGTCGCTTAGGAACTGACACAAAATGATCGTCGACGATATATTTGATACAATATAATGCACAATAGTGTAAAAGATCGTGAGGATCGGACCAGCAGTCCAGACACTTGAAGATGTCATACCATTTAGATACAAGTCTTAACCTATATGACTTATTTGATTAAATCTATATGAAGATCCTTGAAGGATTGAAAATACTTGAAGCATATAATTAAAAGTCTTAAGAAATGTACTCGATAAAATTATAAAGATCTTTGTACGGTTTAAAGCAATTAGTGTGTGTGTGATATATAATCGCATCAGTAAATATTTGGTGAAAGAAGATTACATAAATGATGTTATTTGTCCATGTATTTTTATAAAGAAAATGTCATCAGAATTTGTTATACTTGATGTTTATGTTGATGACATAAAATTTGTTGGAACTCCAGAAGAGCTTCAAAAGACAATTGAATATCTTAAGAAAGAATTTGGGATGAAAGATCTTGGAAAAATAAAAATTTGTCTTTGGTCTGCAAATTGAATATTTAGCAGACGAGATCTTTATCCATCAATTTGTCTATACATAAAGGGCCCTAAACGCTTTTTCATGGACAAAGCACACACATTAAGTATATCAATAGGTGTTCGATCACTTGAAGTGAATAAAAATCCGTTCCGACCTCTAGAAGAGGACGATGAACTCCTTGGTCCTGAAAATACTCTATCTCAATGTAATTGTTATGCATATATAGGTGGTGCATATCGTATTGGTTTTGCAGATACAAGATTAGAATGCGGAGGCTCAAATATTTGAAACAAGGTTTTCATCAAGGGGAGTAAAATACGCGATGCACTATTTTTTTCTTACTAAAGTTTTTTCCCACAGGGTTTTTCTTATAAGGTTTTTAATGAGGCACCTAGCAATGTGTATTACTAAATATGTGTACTCTTTTTCCTTCACTAGGATTTTTTTCCCATATATTTTTCCCTAATAAGGTTTTAATGAGATACATTATCTTTTAACGAACATCCAAGGGGGAATGTTATAAATATATTATATTATGAATATTCATTTAGTACTCCGTTGTAAATAAGCTTCTCGAAGAAGCTTATCCATATGGGACTCCGCCGTAAATATGTTTATCAATTTAGTACTCTATTGAAAATAAGCCTTCTAAAGAAGCTTATCAATTCGGTACCCGATATGGATAAATATTACCCCCGGTAGAAGATTATCCATACTGGGTATAATAAGCTTATCCTTTCGATACTCCGTTATGGATAAATATTACCCTCGATAAAAGATTATCCATACTGGGTACAATGAGCTTATTCTTTCAGTACTCCGTTATTGATAAACATTACCCCAGTAGAAGATTATCTATACCTGGTACAATGAGCTTATCCTTTTAGTATTTCGTTATGGATAAACATTACTCTCAGTAGAAGATTATCCATATCTGGTATAGTAGCAGCTTATAGTAGCAGCTTACACAACAGCTTACAGTAGCAGCTTACACAACAACTTCCGTTCTTCTATAAATAGAAGAGATTTCAGTTTATTATGTACATCAGTTTGAATTCGAATAATATATCTGTTTCTCTCTATACTTGTCTTTACTTTACCGTCTTTATTTTATAACAACTTATAATTTTTCGATAAAAGTTATTTTAATCGATCATTCTTTTATCTGTAGGTGCAAATACCTTTGAGTGTGGTTCGCTCGATTTCTTATTGTAATTAAACCTTTTTATAATAATTTTATTTGTTGTGATATTTTTTAATTATTATAAACAATACTATTATAGAAAATATATATTATAATATAATATGAAAAATTAGTTTCAGATTATAGTAAAGCATTATTATAGCGCGTGAACGTTCTATTAAGAAAGAAAAATACACAAACCCTCCGTCAAAGTAGTTCGCCTTTGTCTATTATGACTTTAACTGTATGGGTTCCTATTACCTTAGTCCTTAGAAGTTTCGGCTCAAAGTTAATATGCTACGGGCTAAATTTTCAGACTTGAAGTAGTAGATCTGAATTTTTTTACAGACCTACTAGAGTAAAAATTGCACGGGGCGCCTTATTTGGTCGCCTCCATTTAACCTATACCCATTTTTTAAAAAAGTTTTAACTTGTACCCACTTTTTAAACAATTTCAGCTCTCTTTCTCCTTCTCTTCTTCTTCTTCTTCTTCTTCTTCTTCTTCTTCTTTCTTCTTTCTTCTGCTGTTGTTGGTGCTACTATGAATCATCAGTTCATGGGATGATTGCCATAAGTATATTTATTAGATTATTTAAAAATAAATTATAAATAATTACGTAAGTTAGTAGACAATAATTTGTGAATATTTCCACGTACGGGAAGTTTAAGGCCACACTTAGTGATTCTTTTCACGATAATTCTGTTCTTTTCACGTTTATTGTTTCCGAAATTTATGATTTAGATACTGTTGGCAATCTGATTATTTATATAGTATGTTAGAAAGATTTTTTCAAAAACTTCAGCTTATATAGTGCTGAAATTTTTACAAATGAACTAAATAACTTTAGCATCTTCTGGTGAAGTTTTTGAAAAAGCTTTATGACAAAACTAATGAATCCAGGACAAAAAAAACTTCAGCTTATTTAGTGTTGAAGTTTTTACAAATGAACTAAATAACTTCAGCATCTTCTGCTTAAGTTTTTGAAAAAGCTTATCCAGGACAAAAAAACTTAAGCTTATATAGTGCTGAAGTTTTTATAAATGAACTAAATAACTTAAGCATCTTCTACTGAAGCTTTTGAAAAAGCTTAATGACAAAACTAAAGAATCCAGAACAAAAAAATTTCAACTTATTTAGTGCAGTTACAAACAAAAACTTTAGCAAATAGAGAACAAAACTTCAGCTACTATGCTTAAGTTCAGCAATTACAAACAAAAATTTCAGCAAATAGAGAACAAAACTTCAGCTACTATGCTTAAGTTCAGCAATTACAAACAAAAACTTCAGCACACTTGGTTCAACACACTTGCTACTTCAGGCCCGTCTACTAGAATGCTGAAGTTTTGCGTGATTGCCTTTGCTACTTCAGCCCCGTATACTGAAGTTACGCGAAAAAGTGGGTACGCTTGCAATTCTTTTTTGCAAAGCGGACACGAGTTAAAACGTGACCCAAAAAGCAGGTATAGATGCAAATGCCCCAAAATTGCACGGGCGCCATATTTAGTCGTCCCCATTTAACATGTACTCACTTTTAAATTATTTTTAACTTGTACCCATTATTTAAGCAACTTGAGGCCTTTTCCTCCTCCTCCAGCTTCTTCTTTTTCTTCTTCTTCTTCTTCCTTGAGTAACACTGATTTTATTTGGCCTTAAGTGCATAAAATCATTGTTTGCACTTCGGACCTATTTGGCCTTAAGTGCATATGAAATACAATTTTTTCACTTCAGGCTAATTTTTTTTTTAACTTCAGACCCGATAAGTCTGAAGTTGATTATAAAGTGTGTAGACTTACAATTTTTTTTGCAAAGTGGATATAAGTTCAATTGTGACCCCAAAATCGGATATAGATGCTAAAGCCCCTCTACTGGACCAGAAGCTTCTCAAGCTCTAAGTATTTACTTTTCTAGCCAAAGATCAATGGCTTAGGTAACTTCAGACCCGCGATTGAAGCTTCAAACCCCGTAGTTTGGAGTTTGGTTCTGAATAGGCTAGACTTTAAGAATTTTGTAAATTTGGCTATTCATTAAATATGGGTCCTAAAAACGGCTGTTTGTGCACATCGCCCGATTTTTAGTTCAGAGAAAAAAGCCCATGGCACAGAACAAAGCCCACTCAGTCTCCTCTCACTTTCGAGTTTCGACTCGAGCAAATCCCTAGCAATTTCGCCCACTTCTTCAATTTTTGCTCACTCACATACGAAGAACAGCTAAACAAAATGGCATCCAGCGATCAAACTGTGTTGCAATTTTCACCATCTTCAGCGAGTTTATCAGCTAGGGTTCAACCTTTGGTCATTTTCAACATTTGCGATTGCTACGTAAGACGACCTGACCAAGCCGAGCGGGTCATTGGCACTCTTCTCGGCTCTGTATTGCCTGACGGCACTGTTGACATTCGCAATTCTTATGCCGTTCCTCACAGCGAGTCTCAAGATCAGGTTTTGCTTCTCATAATTACTGATTCTGTCAAATTTAGTCATTTTTCCTATTTTGTTTTGCTAAAGTTAGACCCTTTTTGGGCCCAAAATAGTCTAAGAAGAGCTGAATTTAGGGTTTAAGTCTCTTTGAGCAATTTTGAGTAAATCTTCGGACTTAGAGAACATTATATGTTACTTAAATTGCTAATTTATTGTTAATATGTACAGATGATAGTTGATTAGGGTGCACATTGTGTTTGTACGTAATAAAATGTGTGTGAACCATGGAAATGCACTGAAAATACTATAAGAAAGGAATCCATTTTGTATAAATATAGATACATTCTAGTTATGCTATGTACCAATTTATTGAACTTGTTACGTAGTGTGTGTGACTTTGAATTTTATTTTGTCGCTTCAGAACCTCATACTTCAACATAGATAATGGAGTAGTATTTTTGTTGTCTCACAAAGGCAAACAAATAAAGGAAGAACATATAAAAAGAGAGGCTATTCTCTGTTTTGCTGTTTTTCCAATCCATTTTATTTTGCCAAATTGATGTTTCTTCTCTCGACGCGGGATGGTGTTAATGAGAGGTTGGAGGTTTGGAGACAGACTCTCGAGTCTAAGGGTTTTAAATTGAGCAGGACTAAGACAGAGTACCTAGAGTGCAAGTTTAGCGCCGAGTCGAGAGAAGTAGGCATGGATGTGAGGCTTGGATCACAGGTCATCCCCAAGAGAGGTAGTTTCAAGTACCTTGGGTCAGTTATTCAAGGGATGGAGAGATTGACGAGGACGTCACTCACCGCATAGGAGTGGGGTGGACGAAATGGAGGCTAGCATCTGGAGTCTTATGTGACAAGAAAGTGCCACCGATACTCAAAGGTAAGTTTTATAGGGCGGTGGTTAGATCGACCATGTTGTATGAGGCTGAGTGCTGGCCAGTTAAGAACTCTCATATTCAGAAGATGAAGGTAGCTGAGATGAGGATATTCAGGTAGATGTGCGGGCACACTAGGATAGATAAGATTAGGAATGAAGATATTCGGGAGAAGGTGGGTGTGGGCTCTGTGGATGACAAGATGCGGGAAGCGAGACTCAGATGGTTCGGGCACGTGCGGAGGAGAAGCCTGGATGCTTCGGTGAAGAGGTGTGAGCTGCTGGCTTTAGGGGGTATGAGAAGAGGTAGAGGACGGCCTAAGAAGTATTGGGGAGAGGTGATCAGGCATGACATAGCACGATTGCAGATTTCCGAGGACATGGCCCTTGATAGGAAGGTCTGGAGGTCGAGCATTAGGGTTGTATGATAGAGTGGTTGTCGAGCTTCTCCTTCTCCATTCCGGGGGTGAAGCGAGTTTGAGTAGGTTGGTCCTAGACGGCTTGTGGTTAATGTAGAGTTCACTCTAACCTTACTGTTTTCCATAGCTCTGGACCTTAGTTGCAGGTTATTGTTATTGCATGTCATCTATTTTATGGTTTTTAGGATGCTGTCATTATTTCTATGGTTATGTTGACGTTACTGATGAATTGTCTTTTCTTGTTTTCTTGTTTTATTTCCATCTTCCTGAGCCAATGGTCTATCAGAAACAACCTCTGCCCTATCGGGGTAGGGGTAAGGTCTGCGTACACACTACCCTCCCCAGATCCCACTTAGTGGGATTTTACTGGGTCGTTGTTGTTGTTGTTTCTTCTCTCGTGATGGTATTCTTAACTCCATGATTCTTGAAAGATATCCCGATTTGTGATAGACCTTTGTTGTAAATGTGTTTTTATTTTATTGCTTTCGCTGAAATTTTTGGCATACGTTCTTTTAAAGGTTGCACTGGATATTGATTACCATCATAACATGTTGTCATCTCATCAGAAGGTGAATCCAAAGGAAGTGATTGTTGGATGGTAATTCTCCATATGCTTATGCCTTCTTATGTTATGGCGGGTAATGCATTTTGCTGTATAGAGTGCTTGGGAGATGTTAAATAGGTGGATGACATTGTAAGAGAATGAAAAGTATGAAATAGAGAGATCATTTGATTTAACTGACAGCATTCTTTTGTATCAAATGTTTCCTTAATAGTATAAACTGATTTGAGCCTTCATAGCTTAGTAGTACCATCTACTACTCCCTCTGTCCCAAATTATGTGGCGTAGCTCGGATTTTGAGAGTCAAATTTCTCAATTTTGACCTTAAATTCGGACATAGAATCTTCAAGTTTGTTTAAACAAAACTAGTATTAGTGTACGCGTGTTGCGCGTGTATCAATATTAATGAGAATAAACTTTTTAATAACAATATAATTAATAGAATATTTAAAAGATTTGTTTGCGTTATACCCCTTTTATTTTCACTGTCTCGATTCAATTCTGAAGCCAAAGAATTTGATGGCTCCCAGTCTTGATTAATAAGAATAATGAACGCTACATGACTCCCATAAAAACTTAAAACGAATCTCCTATATGTAAATAATTTTTTTTGGTTGTTTAATTTGATTACATTCAGCTTGCTTTTTAGTCGAGACGATACGAGGTGATTTTAATAGCCTTCAACTTCATAATGATTTTTCGGTATAGCAATTTTTCTTATCGAGTGGGGCTAATCAGTCGTATAGCCACATACTTTGTGATCACTAAAATAATATTAATGTTGATAATATGTTTTACATTTACCTTCTAATAAGTATTTTTCTAATATGTATGCAGTAAAAAAAAGGTAAATTGATTGTTTTTTGTACTATCAAGTATATATGCTTGAATATTTTAAGTTCATTGTTTTGGAAGAAATTGACAAATAAGGGTACTTTTATAATTATCAAAACTAAAGCTACATATCAATGTGATGAGATTTCTTCATATCAATAATATTTTGATTGAGAAACTGGCGGATTGCTTCATGTATTATTACTTAATATTTAAATAATAATAAGTACTATATTTAAACAAGTACACCTTTATAAGAGTACTTTGTATTGAAACTGGCACGAACTTGTTGCTTTTTCTAACTTTGTGTGGAATTTATAGCTTTTGTAAATAATGAAAATTTTAATAAAATAAATTTTAGTTAATTTAAGGCATCAAATTTTAGGAAAAGTGATATGACGAAGTTATAATTATGTTATATAGTTGGAATAAGGAAAATATTTAAGTAAGGTAAAATCTTGATTCATTTTAAAGTCCTAAATTTTAGGACTTCCTACATATTTCAAATAAGAAAAATTTAATAATCAGTCCTAAATATTAAAAATAATAATTAAATTATAAGATTGTCCAATATGAAATAGCATCATAATTGTTAAACATTAATTTTTTTCCTATTACTAAATTGATAATAAAAATATTATTACGGTTAAGTAGAGGGTTGTATTTGATTTTGTCCTTGAGATTGTGAATATATTAATGTTAAGATTATAAAATATTCTTGGTAAAAAGTAAGTGTTTACCTATGAAATCTCGTCTATGAGTGAGATAATAGTTTTTTATGATAATTCAAACTTACCATATATTTATTGTCCATGCTTCGTAATTATTATATAAGCTAAAATCATAATGGAATATAAAGTCCTAAAACATTAGGATTTCTCACATAGTTTAAATAAGGAAAGATTTAATTAGTAAAATTTTAGTTGAATTAAAATTCCTAAATATTAGGAAGATAATTAAATGACTATTTTGTCTAGTGTGAACTCTATTTTTAAACGGGCAAAAAAGACGAACGATATTTCGCTAAGTGCCTTCGTGCTTTTAATATAGTATAGATTTATATATTTGGAAACTACGTAAAAAGTACTTTAAGTCACAATAATTAGCAACTCAAAATATCTAAAAGGCATATGAAAAAATATAGTAAAAAAAAACTCGGTTGACTCTCGAAAGTCGAACTCGACCACATAAATTGGGACAGAGGGAGTAATATTTTGCATGTAGAAACCATGAACTAGTGGCTGCATTTGTCAAGATACAATACTTTGTACCTCCTTTTATATATATTATAAAACACGGGGCATCTTTTCGACTTTTCCAGGTTCTTTTTCCTTGAACATCCACTACATCCACTCTATATTTTGGTTGGTTACTTATGGACCTCCAATTTTGTGTAGTATTCAACATTCAAATACATGGGTTACTAGCTGACGCAATTGTGAATACTTGTCTTGAATTTTCCAGGTTTTCTACTGGTTTTGGAGTCTCTGGTGGTAGTGCTTTGATCCAAGAGTTTTATTCTAGAGAAACTTCTAATCCTATACATCTGACCGTTGATACTGGATTTCAAAATGGTGAAGCTTCAATAAAAGGCTTTGTCTCTGTGCATTTGTCTCTCGGAGATCAGCCACTTGCTGCCCAATTTCAGGAAATTCCATTGGACCTGCGCATGGTTGAAGCTGAAAGGGTTGGATGTATGTCTCTACTTACCTTCCATACCAAATAGGATAGGCCCTATTTTACTGCATATTGACTTAGCTATGTCCATGTGCATTGGTCAGCTTGGATGGAAGTGTGGTTGGACGATATGTAATTGTGAACTGCTGGTGGTAATTCTCATAACAACAATAATAGTTGGTCTGGTAACTTTCACGTAAACAAGTAGCTAATTATCTTAAGGATATGGTGCAATAGTAGCCATATGTTAATGATTTTAAGTCGTAAAGTAGAGTCTGGTTATATATTCTTTTTGGTTTGAGCAATAGTCTTTATTTCCTATTCGCGATGAAAATTCTTACTAGGACATTCTTTTTCCCCTTGATGCAGTTGATAAGCTCAAGAAAACAACCGTAGACAAACTTCCGAATGATCTCGAAGGAATGGAAGCATCAATGCAGCGATTACTTGCTCTTATTGATGATGTCTACAAATATGTTGATGATGTTGTGGTAACAGGAACTTTTCCATAATTGAATTTAGTAAGTTTCTGTGTTTTTCATCTTTAAGTTCTCATATTGGTTTGCCTTTGTAGGAAGGACGTCTACCCCAGGATAACAGAACCGGAAGATTTATAGCTGATACTGTGGCTGCCATTCCTAAACTCTCACCCCAAGCCTTTGATAAGCTTGTGAATGATGGTCTTCAGGTAGCATTTTCCCCTTTGTATGTTTATGCCGTTGCTTCCCTTCCCCTTTTTGGTGATTTCCATGGCATGCAACAACAAACAATCCAGTATAATCTCACAAGTTGAGGTCTAGGGAGGGTAGTGTATACGCAGACCTTACCCCTACCTTGAGGGTAGAGAGACGGTTTTGGATAGACCCTTGGCTCAAGGAAAGGTGAAAAAAAAAGCAGTAGCAACGCAGTAACGACAACAAGATAATAAGAAAACAAGCGAGATCTCCATAGCATGCATACCTAATAATTTTGTTAGTAGCGTCCTAAAATATGCTTGCGGCTGGTTATCATGATATTTAATGAAGCTTAATATTGGGTCTGTTTTCTTACCCTGATTTAATCTTTACTTGTAGGACCAATTGCTTTTGTTGTATTTGGCAAGCCTCACGAGAACTCAACTCAGCTTTGCAGAAAAGTTAAACACTGCTGCTCAGATCCTGTGATTGATTATCCTTTCGTGCTCTTGTAATGCAAGGCCAGATTTTTGTCCGGGTGACTGTTTGGTCTGACTTTTCACAACGCGATCAATCCTCATTATAGATGTTTGGTTNTTTCCAGCATTTTGTAACTGTCTTTCAAGAAATTAAGCTAGAAATAACTTCTTCCAGTTTGTTGGATTGCTGTATTTATCTTTAGAAATATAGTTAGTCACAGAAAATGGACAGTAGCTTTGACGGGAGCAGGATCGAAAGTTTCTTTTTCAAATATAAAATAGTATGTTTAATATGCAAAATTTTCTTAAATTTAGCTCAGTTTACAATTCGCACAAAAAAACTATCTTTATTAGGTGACAAATTTGTCATATTCACCTACTTATCGTTGACCTTAATTGCTTCAAATTTGATTTTCTTGATAAAGGCGGAACTTACAGAAGAATTTACAAATAAAAAGAAAGCATATTGGAATTACACAGAAATCAGATGTGGAACAAAGGAAAACGACTAGAGATTTAACATGGATCTACCTATTGATATCTTTATTTTGTTATACGGATTTATAATCAATTAATCCTTATAGAAACCATATTGTATGTAACAATACAACATGAATGCTATGCTTTTATTACTATAAATCTTCCAAATTTTCTATTTTAGCTTAGGAAATCCCATAAAATGAAGTATGAGTGGCGATTTACTGTGACATATACCCTTGATATATTAAAGCTCGTGTCATTTTTTCTGCAGAAATTCTATTTAATTTCTGAGAAGGATGAAAAGGGGTCCTAATACATGAAGGAACTTCACTAAGTGAAATGTACATAGTTCAGCTCATTCAGTGTACATTAAAAATTATGCATTTTTAACATCCTAAGGCAATATGTTTGTTGCTTCAACTTTAGTAGTACAGTTAGATTAATTGCATAGTCCAAACAATAATTTGTGACTTTTTAATAATTAAATTATTCACAATTGTTCGTAAGCTGTCGTTCACGTGGAAGCTGGAAAGCCAGTAAGGTCTAAGATTTTTGCTAATTTAATTTGTTGCTACTAATTAATGAAAAGACAGCATAGATTCAAGTGGTAAAACATAGTCAAACCATTAAATAATACATCATATAGTATTATGAGATACTACTGTATTATGTATTTGGTTTAAAATAATAGCATACACCGACCAATCAAAAAGACGGTTTTAAGGATCATTCTTGACATTAATAGGCTGACTTTTCAGTCAGCAAATTAATTTAGAAGCTAAGGTCAAGTATTAAATTAATAGTGGGATTAATTAATTAAAAAATGGGATTGGGGACAGTTTGGATATGCAGAAGTATTCTGATTAATGTTACGTATTTTAGGAATGAGGAGATTCTAAACTGAGTTTTCTAATCCTAAGGAGAATGACAGGTCACGTACAGAACGCTAAAAGACGGCGCTTAATTATGGATTATTATTAGGGATTTGTCTCATTGACTCTTTCTGTATCTCTCACAGCAATGCAAATAATTTTTTTGTTGCTGAGTAGATCATTGTTATGTTGGTGTTACTGCTTCTTTTTTATTATTATATTATATTTTTTTAATTATGTTGTGACTATATTTTTCTTGAGTCAAAAGTTTATTCGGAACAACTCCTTTCCCTTCCCAAAACAGGAGTGAGATTTAAGTATATATTACCTCTCCCAAATCTCACTTGTGCGATAGTTTATGTTATTGTTATAATTGCTAAGTAGACTAATGATAGTTCTCTCTGCAAATGTAGTGTTGCTTTTATTACATATTCTCCTATGTTTGAGGTAACACTATATTCTTTTTAGCTTGTTTAGAAAAGAAAGATATCTTTAAATATCTAAAAAAAAAAATTGATTTTAAAATTTTTATTTTTACTTAATTGATGAATTTAGGCAACAATATTATAAGATCATATAATTTTTTTCCTTTTTTTAAAGTTCGTGCTCGTCTAAATAAGTTCACGTAAACGGAGATGGAGGAATCAGTATTATAATACTTGTTCCATTCTATTTTTGTTACTTTCATTGTTTAATTTTGAGGTCCAACAACAAGTTGACAATCTTAGAATTTAAGTTTATGTCAAGAAATTGTTGGACACGTGCCAGCCAGTCATATCTTTGAAATAGCAGTCCCCCAAATCATAATCAAAATAAAAAAATTGAACGCTTAGGTCAACTCTCCCATGTTTCAAACTTGCCAACACATATCAATACAGCAACTGCCACCTCAAATGCATGAATCCAAGTCCCCATTCACTCCCTATATAAACCCCTTCTTCTTATTCTCACTTCATCCTCAGCCTTCACACATCACTCCTTAATCCAACTCAAACTGCAAATTAATTAACAATGCCTTGTTCCACAATGTTAACAGCAGCTTCTGGAGCTGTAACTTTGATCAAGAAATGTACCATTTTTCCCTCTCAAAAATCATCTATTCCTGACCTCAAACTCTCTGTTTCTGACCTGCCTATGCTCTCTGTTCACTATATTCAAAAAGGTTGTCTCTTTACTCGTCCTCCTTTTTCCATCGCTCACCTCATTTCGCTTCTCAAGCTCAGTCTTTCTCAAACACTCACTCACTTCCCTCCTTTGGCCGGTCGTCTATTGACTGACCAAGATGGTTACGTCTACATTTCTTGCAACGATGCTGGTGTTGATTTTGAACACGCCACTGCTACTGATATTTTCATTCGCGATGTTATTGGCTCAATTGATGTTCTTGATCATGTTAAAGAGTTCTTCCCTTTTGATCGTACAGTGAGTTATCAAGGTCATTTTAGGCCTCTTCTTGCTGTTCAAGTGACCGAATTAGCTGACGGCGTCTTCATTGGCTGCGCCGTCAACCACTCCGTCACTGACGGCACCTCATTTTGGAACTTTTTAAATACCCTTGCTGAGGATAGTAGAGGTGTGAAAAGGATTACGAAGCAGCCGAATTTCAACCGTAATTCAATTTTGATCTCAAATGCCGTACTAAAACTCCCAGCTAATGGACCCACAGTCACCTTTGACGCTGACGCCCCATTGAGGGAGAGGATATTCAGTTTCAGCAGGGAATCAATTCAAAGACTCAAATCAAAGACGAACAATCAGAAATCGAATTTCGACGAAGAAATTAACATTGTTGAATTAATGGCCAAACAGAGCAACGATCCCTTGATACAATGTTCGCGGACAGAAAAGGCGGCTGTAATCTCAACGGCTGAGATTTCATCATTTCAATCGCTTTGCGCATTGCTATGGCGAGCAGTGACACGTGCGAGAAAATTCCCAGCTTCCAAAATGACGACGTTTCGAATGGCTGTAAACTGCCGTCACCGTCTCCNGTTTCGAATGGCTGTAAACTGTCGTCACCGTCTCCAACCGAAACTCGATCCGTTATATTTCGGCAACGCAATTCAGAGCATTCCAACATACACGTCAGCTGGAGACGTTTTATCACACGATCTGCGTTGGTGCGCAGAACAATTGAACAACAACGTGAAGGCGCACGATAATGCTATGGTACGGAAGTATGTAGAGGATTGGGAGAAGGATCCACGGTGTTTTCCGCTAGGGAATTTCGACGGAGCTATGCTAACAATGGGGAGTTCGCCGAGATTTCCAATGTACGACAATGATTTCGGGTGGGGCAGACCCGTTGCTATTCGAAGCGGGCGGGCTAACAAGTTTGACGGGAAGATATCAGCGTTTCCGGGGAGAGGAGGAGGAGGAGGAGGAAGCGTTGATTTAGAGGTGGTTTTGTCACCGGAAACAATGGACGGCCTTGAGTTGGATACTGAGTTCATGCAATATGTTTCTGGGTATTAAATTGGATAACCTAAATTGTGAGCTTTGTATTCATTATTAATTGTTGTTTAATTTGTTTCATAAACTAATTTGTGGGTTTGCTAAAAGGGGTACGTAATAAAAAAGAATATCATCCAAAAAAAAAATTGATTCAATATGTTTTCTTCTTTGTTTTATTTTTATTTTAGCTCACTTCTGTATAACTGCTAATCTGCTATGCTAAAATATAAAATAGAAAATTCCTAGTCAACCAGTCGCTAGACACACTTTTTACACTAATTAATTAATTAAAATTTTAATAAAAACGATTTGATCATAGCTTGTGTTATAAATTATCCACTAAAATTTTTTATTCAAATCACTTACAAAACTTTAAAAACAATCTAAAATTATATTTATATCCAAATAAAATTTAAAATTTTAAATACTATTTTCACTTAAAAAAAATTTCACCATATTTTGAAATTTTACAATTTTTATGTCCACACGCCCGCTAAACCCTATGGTGATCTTCAGCCGTCCTTTTCGATTTGTCGGCGTATGCTATTATTTTAATCCAGTCAACATTTGATATAAACCAAACACTGTCATTATTAATTACTATATATTAATTTGGCTAAGTAGGTCAATGTTGATGTTTATAGCCTGATCGGCTAAGCTTTTTTGGGGCCAAACGTACATTTTCTTTAAGTCGAAAGTATTTTTTTCTAAAAATTAAGGTGTTTCGCCAAACTTTTGAAAGAAAAAAAGTATTTTTGAAGAGAAACACAAGCAGCTTTGAAGAAGTAGAAAAAGTAGCTTATCTTCAAAACTACTTTTTTGATTTTTTTTGTTGAGAAAAATACACTCAAAAGTAATTTTTAAAAGTTGTCAAACACTAATTTCGCTAATGCTTTTCAAATTAATTAGTCAAACACACTGCTTCTCACCAAAAGTACTTTTGAGAAAAAACACTTCTCAAAATAAGCCGATTTTTGCGGCTTGACCAAACAGGCTATTAGTCTCTTAACCTCTTTATTAGTCAATGAAAGATTAATGTAACAAAAAACTTGGATACTAGTGTTTCTTTTTGGGGTGAAATATATACTCCCTCCGTTTTAATTTATGTGAACTATTTAATTAGATACGGAGTTTAAGAAAAAATGAAAAACTTTTGAATAGTGTAAAATGAGGCAAATATATTTTATGTAACTATAAATCATTGCATAAAGGTAAATTGTTTCCAAATATGAAAAAAATATCATTCTTTTTTAGCACGGAGTAAAAAGAAA